TAACGATTGGATTCCGGCATCCAGTACTTAAAATCCGGAATCCAAGGCGTGGAATCCAGAATCCAAGACTGTCTGGATTTTCCGTACATGGGGCGAAATCTATAGCCACAAGTTACTTTTGTACTTTGCATTAGTACTGCTCTTCTAAGGATTCGTCCTTACCCCCACTCTTACAGTCTCTGATATAACCTCTCTTTTCAGGATGGAGTTATATTTACATGTCAAGGCGTAAGATCTGGATGTTCTTCATTTTACCAGAGGTCCAGTAAAAGTGGCTATGCCAAAATTTAACCTTACGTACACTTACACGATCAGTAAGGGTTATGAAACAACGTTTGCAAGCGACCTTTGACATAGCATCAGAAGAAGAGTTCAATTTTTATCATCACTCAGTAATTCGCCAAGTTCTGAACGAGCGAAATAACTCGACGTAATATGCGACCACAAAACTTCTTGGGATCGTTTGGAGGGACAGCATGAAGGTCAAAACCTGGTTCACTACAAGTGCTTTGGTCTACACTGCAATATTATGTTCGGAAGTGCAACTGATTTTTACTTTTACAGAACTTCTAAAAACCTTTAAGCACAGTACAGTGACGCATGAACCAATCAACTTTCGTGCAATAACACGATCGGAAACAGTTTCCACGCATGCTAACCGACAAACGTCTTCACTTATTTGGTCAACGGTACTGACATGATTATAAGCTAATCAGAACCGAAGAAATATTTTGAATGGATAACAAAATGAGATCCATGCAATTTTTTGCCTTCTATATTGCACGTTCAATTTTAGATCACCTCCCAGTATACAGTCACCCTAGGCCTCTGTTAAGCGCTCAACTAGCAAATTCTTGAAGTTCACCACCAGAACGTAATTTTTTTGTGATACTTAAAAGTACTGGGGGAAGCGGAACGGGATGGGATGTGGGATCTCGAACTTTGGGTTGTCTAAAGCTACCAAATATTCTAAATATTTTATGGAGTTGATGCTAATTCTGCCAAGGGATTTGGTCGTACTGGCCACCTTACACTATTAGAGCTGGCTTGTATATTATAGACCGCTTATAACTTTCCCAGAGGATTTCTTGTCATATGAAGCATAGGACATCTACGTTTTGTCGGGAAAAATAAATAAATATATTTTGATCATCTACTAAACATTGAAACACTTAACGCCATTTCCTTTCTTCATATTCCGAGCTCCCCACGGCCTTAAAATATTAATCTCTTTCAAACGAAACAAAATTATTCAAAACAATGGATGAGAAAATGTGCAGTAATAAGAGAGGCTAAATCGATTAGGAAAGGAAGAATTACGAGATCCTGCCTACCCAAAGTGCACGTGCCAGTCTGCTCAATCATGAAGTAGGTCTTGACAACCTTTTTAGGGCTTCCGGTATGATTAGTTTTCTAGGAAGGATGAAACAAATGTATAAATACACGTACATACAGTAATTTCGTTGTCAAAGCTGACCTTATAATCTCTTATGAGATTTTTGTGGCATTTTAAGTTTTAAGACACTTCCGACCGTTTTCAGTCTAATACTTTCTGTAACACAAGGACCTCTCTTCGTGAGTTGACGCACAACTTCGAACAGGAATTTCCTAGAAAATATTTCTGCGATAACTCATTCAATATTTTTTTGGTAGGGTCAAAGCGATGGTGGAAAAAGAACTTAAAAGGTACGACATTTTCGTGGTTCTCTTTGGAACCATTTTGAGCTTCGCTGACCCCATCACTGATATTCTCACACTGGTCAAATTTTACCGCGCAGACCACAAGACATGGTTCGGTGTTGGGCTCACATTTGTTATTTTTTCATGTGTGGCTTTTTCTGTAAATTACTATGCACCGAAAGAATCTGAACTGAAAGGGGTCAGCCGCGCTAGGAGATACACACAAGTTTCAGCCTCGGTGAAACTGCAAACCCTTATTTTCTACCTGAAGATTTTAAGAAACTTTGGCGGGGCGATAAGATCAAAACGTCTGATACTGGAACGGCTGTTGATGATACTGGCTAGCAATAACATCGCCCGTTCTGTATGAGGCTATACTCGAATCAGCTCCTCAGTTTATTATAGAGCTATACGCCATGGTTGCTCAAAAAGGAATCTATGAAGGTAGTGCACACTGTCTCTCTGCCGGTGTCTTTTCAGGGGCACCCAACGAGAGTATAGTTCAAAACCACTTAAACATAGCATTGTTAAATGTATTTTAGCATTTAAACGGTAGATATAGGCATATTTTTAACCCCTAAAAATTTTTCTTTTGTTCGGATTTCCTAGCTGAAAGTCTAGTGATCCGAAAATTATAGGGATCAAAACTTACCTTTTCGAAAATTTTAGCCAGAAAATAGGCTCCCGAAAATTCTAGGTGAACATTTTAGGGTAAAAATTAGTTAAAAATGGGCAAGTATACCATTTTTTATATGTTCGAAAATCCTAGGAGAGGCTTGCAAGCAAGAAATTTTACAACAATTGTTCCGAAAATTCTAGATCTCAAATCGTCTTCCGAACAGATATTTTTCCGAAAATTGTCGTTGGGTGCCCCTGTCTTTTCTTTGCTTAGTTTGGGCGTCTACAGTCGCGGATGATGTCATTCACGGCAAGGAAGAAGATGGCACTGTAAACTATATGACGCATGAGACAAATAAACTTGTACTTTTTCTGACTCATTTTTTCGTGTTGAGCAGTCGGCTCATTGCCATCGCCTTGTTCACCGTCAGCTTTAAGTGGTGGATTACCACTGTTTAAATTTTTCATTCTATCGCCATAGACATCTGTGATGTCACTTTGTTTTATCCCAAAGGAGAATGTAATGTAACATTTGCAAGTTTGTCGGCTTTCTCTTTCTGCTTCCACCGGTTGCGAGATGACCTGTCAATGAGAATAGACAATGGGTCATCAGCAGAAAAGAAAAAGAGGGAGTTGAGAAAAATGCAGATGTTCTCCAACGCGTTTTTTGTGACAGAAAACATCATCATGATCTTGTTGTTTTATTTCAGTCAGTCCCCTCATACTTGGTACGCTCTACCCGTCACGGTCTGCGTCGGTTCTTTTGCTCTTCTTGGAGCCACAATGAGAGTGACTCATTTTTGTTTCTTAGCGAAAGAATCAAATACAGTCGAAACTCCCTCGAGCTACCAACCTATACGGCAAGAGTTGGTGGAAGTCCCGGGGGGACTTTAGGAATTTCTGGGTGCGATGTGCCGCTGGGAGCCTGGAACCCTTAACCTTTACCAGAGCTAGTTCAGCTGAATTTTGCTACCCTATACTAGAGTAAACTCCCCAAATCCCCCTACCCTAGAGTAGCTGTGTATCTTGTCTAGATAAAATCTTCAACCAACTGATCAGTTTCCTGAAAAATAATACCCTATTCTATAGCCAAACACTCTGATTTATATACCCTGTCCTAGAGTAAACTGCTTGAAAACCATACCCTTCACAGCGGCACATACCTATATAGCCCATATATGGCAGTACCCCCGGGTGGAAGCGTACGGGAGGTCCGTACTAAATACAAGACTTGGACCACAGAGGCTGTCCACTGGGATAGGTCATCTACCTCACAGGCCTCACATCTGCCCACTCGGAGAAAGTTTTTGCTTAAAATTTCCCAATTACGATACGAGAAGTGATATGTTGTCAGGAAAATTTCCTGAACTGCGGGAACACAGCGGGCAATATTTTTGGTAGCGATATTTTTAGACAGTAAAGCTGAACGCGTCGGTATTTTTTTGTCAGCGCATCTCAAGCCGCAAAAATTTTGGATACCTCTTAATTCTGAATCCTTTCATGATCTTTTAACTGGTTTAGAAATAATTCTGTATTCCATGGTAACGCTAAGTAAGTCAAAATTTGATTACCATGGTGAGTGGTACGATGGAGAGGTCTAGCACTGTAGGGACTGTAGTTCAAAGCCCTGTAGGACGCCGATGCGATTAGCCGTCAATTTTCTTAATTAATTTCGGAGGGTGATTTCGATTTTAGCAGACCTGTCGTCCTTAAACGTCAAATTTTAGGGGTCCTTTCGGATAAAAGCTGTTAAATCTGGAGAGTAGTATTAAAGCAAAACAAAGAAAAGAATAAAAAATTAACTTCGTAAGTTGGTAGAAAACAAACTTCATTACCACTCTAACACTAAAACGATCTGAGACTCTTTTCGTCTCAGTACACGTCAAGGGCTTTTAAATCCGCTTTTCACTAAAACTCCAGCTTCCAGCTTGTTATCTGGATAGCGGGAAATTCGCCTGTCAAAAAATGTTTTTTCCGTGAGTCTCCTTTGTTCTATCAGCCAGCCAATAACCCAAAAGAGCAATTGACATGGGCTCGTCTTTGCTGTATATATTTGATTCTCCTATCGGCAGCCCTGTTCTAAGACACTTGGGAATACGTTGTGTGCACGCTTAACCAGCCAAAACCACATGCATTTGTCGTCCACACGAATTTGGATGTTTTTATACGGCACACTTTTTTACACGAACCTGCGGCCTTCTTTCTTCACGAAACCAGGGGTCCGCTCACCGAAACCGCATTGTTTTGAAATCTCTCTCCCCGTCGCGTGTGGACATGGCCTAACTCTATTCGCTAAATCAGTCACATTCTTGAAGTATGTTGTTCTTTCGTTGTTGTTTTCAGTCCGTCTCAATGTCAAGCGAATACCACATTACAGTTTTAATACGTCATCGTTAAAACTCCGTTTTTATCTGGCATACACCAGATTGACAATAAAGGCGTTTTAATAGTTTCCAATTTCACAGAGTGTTTTCTCAAAGAGGTGTTTTCAGTGACCATTTTGATCACATACGTTTAGAAGGAAAGCCAAGAATCGAGAGAAAAAAAAATATTTTCATAAATAAAGAAGGATACGATTGGACGGGGCCTCGTGCTCAAAATCTACAACTGTGCTTACAATCACAAGATATTTAATGTACAGGTCACGCACAATTCACACGCTTAAAGTTTTGCATTGGGGTATCATCTTCGTCTCTTGCGTGATGGAAAGACAAAAACGGTTTCGTTTCGCAGCAAGAATTTTCATCATCGTATGGATAATTTTTGTGTCCGAATTCAAGGAAGTTCCTGCTGAAAAGTGTGACAAGATCGACGATTGTTCATGTAGAAAAAGCAATGGGAAAGTTATAAGTTTAAGAAAAGTTGATGGGGGTAAAGGAGGTCCTGCGTAAGTAACGTTTTGTTTCTCAGTATTAATTGTAGTTGTTGAAGTGTCAATAGATATTTTATAGTTTCGCCGGCTTTATTTAAGAATTTTTGTATGTTCTCTAAAATTAATGCTATCAACGCGATGTTACTTATCTCTGAAGTGTTATAATCCTATGCCCATAGTTGTGTGGCAGCAACTCTCAGAAAAAAAACCAATACTGTACTCTTATAGATTATTAGATAATTATTCTTGTTAAAGAAGAACGAATATCACGACTTTAGCTGTTTATAATAAAAAGTAGTTTATTACATTGCTACACATTGGTTTTACTTGTTTTCACTCTAACTACTTTTTTGATAATAAAGTCGAGTCGAGGCACATCAAGTTTCAAGCGTCTCGTGAGTCCCTCAAATACACTGTGTTCGCATCAGTTTCTATCCAGTGTGGTCAAAAGTTCATTACGGGGATTATTTTGAGAGCTGACAATGATGGCCTTATAAATTCCATCACAAAAATTATTGACTTGCTCCTTGGATTTTTAAGCTTTTTTAAGATAGAAGCAAAGCAAGTTCCATGACTCTTATTCAGCAAGAAGTACAATATTTGAATTTCTTTCTTTATAAATTAGACCTCAAAACTTTTAAATTTTAACTAAAGTCATGATAGTTTCAACTGTCGTGACCGTTTTGACTCCAGTTCCATTAAATAAATCACGCACTTTAAATGTTTTAGTCATGATAGTGGATAACGTATTAATACGGACTTAATTAAGGGAGGCTAACATGGAATAGTAAAGATACTCTAATTTGTTTTGGTAGTGATTCTTGAAACGACTCGTATCACATAAGAGTAAGATGTATACCTTTTTAGCCAGGGTTTCCGCAATCTACAGAATCTACAGTCGTACGCCTCTACTACGGACATCGAAGCGACGGAGCGAAGCGTTTTTATTAGAGAGGTGTACGTATAAAAGACGTCACTGCGATGACGGCACTTTTATGACTTCATTTACGGTTTTAAGGGTTTCAGTAGCTAAACCCAGGCTCAAATTTGTTAGAAAAATATCATTAACAGCACCAGCCCATCTCCTCATAATATACTATACAGCGATTTTGCCGCCGAAGCCGAGGTATTCCTTTACTAATGGTAGGGATTGTCAAGTTAGAGTCCAGACAGTAAACAACTACAAAGTTCAAGTTTGTAGCCATTTTGGCCCTCCATTACATTAATATGATAAAATTCTTGCCAAATTTGGTCAACAGTAGCTGGTGGTGATGAATTATACGTATGGTTTTAACCAATCAGAAACGGGGAAATATTTTGAATGGATAATAACACTGACTGATAAAAGGTAACAACTCAGACAACAACACTCTGGCGACCCTGGGTAAGGGATAAAACTATGGATATAATCCCGTTTTACCGCTCCCAAATTTGCCTAATTAAGTCAAATATTTTAGCCTGTCAATTTCGTATGGAGCGGAACTGATGTGCCAAAGAAATTAAGAATTTTTAAAATTTCTAAAAAAAAAATCATTTCATCAAAAACGTCTCTCGAATACGTTCTTGTAGTAATGCGATCTTTTAGTTAACTTTAAATATGTAAGGTAATCTATTTTCCATAGGATATATTAACCAGTATTTCTTTCTTCCTTCAGTTTTAAAAATATATCAGTGGGTGACTGGGATCAAAAATTTAAACCAAGTTTCGACTGGAATCCTTGCACGGCATTTAGCATTAAAGGCAGCGGCTGCAACGATGCATTGGTAAGAACGATTTTATCACTCTTGGCATCTCCTGGTTGCAATTGTTCGAACGGGTCGATGACGCAATAGGGCCTTTTAAAACGAGTAACGTCATAAAACTTAAATTTGTGAAATCATGGGAATGACCGGGATATTCTGAAAATTGAACTGAGTTAAATGTATGAAGCTTAAGTCTCCAGTCAAAGCAGATGTTGAAACATTTTAGTCTTTTTATATAAAACGACGCCAGTCATAATCCTGCTGTTTTATCCTAGACAAAAAACATAAACATTAATAACAAAACTGCAAGGAGAAAAGCGACTTGAGGTTTCGCGATATTTCGGACGGACAAGCAGTCCTTCTTCAGAGGATTTAATGAACATTCCGACAAATCCCATAATTTCACTAGTTTAGTTTTTATGACGTCATCACTTAGAACTCTATAGGCCAGGGCCAGCTTCCTCTAAAGATGGTTAACTTTAACCCAGGATTAAGCCAACTTTTAAGCAAGGTTTTCTTGTCCTAACCTATTCAGCTGTTCAGATTGTGCGGTCGGTGCAAACAAGAAGTGATTATTTTTTCCCGCTCTCTCACCTCGCACCGCACTCCACTAACTGAACGCCTGGAAAAGGCTAGTTTTGTCTGCGGTTTCTCTTAAAGACCTGTCTGCGCGAGGATTGAAAGTACCACGTTGGTCTGAGAGGGTTCTAAAACTGAGATAGTTGTTCTTTTCAAAGTAAACACCAGTCTAGTAGCTTTTTTTCTTAGAGGTTAGGTTTTCAGACCCGCAGCAGTACTCACCATGATATATATGATATATGATAACTACATGTAACACCAACTTCCCCAGTCCCCTCCCCAACACCAACCTCCCTGGGCTAGAAAAGCACTACTGTGTACCTGGTCAGGGAAATGGCTCCGCAATGAGGAAAAAGGGGGAAAAAGATCAGTAAAGGATAAAAAACAGCTCGACTCGCTTGACAGTCGCCCATTTTTGCGGAGCCTGGTCCCAAGCTACTGTGTTCCAATAGACCTTATTCACGATACCCGCCATTTTTGCAGGCGCCAGTTTAAGGACTGATGGTTTCTCAGGGGACCAAACAAGTAATAAAATCTGCCAATACAAGAAATCTCGGTCGAGTTTGTTTATTCTAGACAGAAGGAAATGAAGAACTTTTTATCTTGAAGACGCTAACGGCAAGTTGTTCATTGTAACTTAATTTGGAAGCGATAGCGACCGTAGATGTCCGTTCAGCATGCAATGATGACGTAAAACTTGTTTAAACTCAAACTGTACATTTTAAATGACTATTACATCGTCGTTTCGTTTTGATAGAATAGACAAATTCCACCGCGATTACTCGTAATGGCAAATTCTATTCATTGTTCGTCCCCTGAGAAATCACGTGACATTGCAAATATCCCATCGATCCTAGGGTGCATGCAAAGTTGGCAGGTATCATAAGGTCTATTAAAATGAAATACATTTACTCCAAGATGTGTGAAAACCCGAACAGAGAAACCAATAATGGCCAAGTATTGGCCCAGTCTGCCGCTGCATTCACAGTAAACAAAGACGGATCTACCACTATATCTTACCGTTCATATGCGACAAGGTAAATCATCCCTTTTTATCTAAATAACCTGAGGTCAATAAAGTGTAACTTAAAACAGACCAATTTCCATATATAAAAATTCATGCTTAGCTCCAAAGGCTTGAGGGAGTAAAACAAAAGAAATGTATTATTTATTGCTGAGCCTCAAGATGATTTCTTTTGATTTTTTCTTGTGCTTATTTTAACTAAACATAACGTTAACAATGAATGGACATATGCTTTAAAGTTATATACTTGGTATCAAAAATATGAAATAGCAGTTGCTATAGCATCTAAATGGGCTACGGTGATGAATAAAGGTTTCTCTCTCTCTCTCTCTCTAATGACCGACTTGTTTACTTTTGTTTATTCAATTTTATTTTGTACAATGATACTATTTTTCCTATGTTTTAGGGAGGTGCATATAAAACTTAAATGCGATGACACAAAGTACCCTGGTGATACCGGAGACGGTGTTTTGGTTCTTCGGCAGCCCAAACCAGATTCATATCATTATGTGCGTTTTCTTGTGTTTATAATCATCTAATCGCTTAATAGACCAATATCGATAAAATAAAAAATTCATACTTGGCTCCAAAGCTCAGGGGAATAGAACAAAGATAAATGTATTAATCATTGTTGAGCCGCAAGATATTTTATTTTGCTTTATTCTCCCTCTCGAAGCCAGGCATGAATTTTAATATATCGAAGTTGGTCAATTAGCCCTCGGCCATTCGTACTCTCACCGTAGTGTCAAGTGCTTGGTAAGAACACTGCCCCCAACCCCCCCCCCCCCCCTTGCGTTTTTGATACGATGCGATATTTTGAAAAATTTCTATCATTACGGATAAACTAGATGGCCTGTTAGAGTGGTGTAGGAGCTGCTCGAAAGATCTCTTCTCATTGGTCGCAGGAAACAATGACATGTCATTCTTCCAATTGTTTTAGTATTGTTTGGGGTCAGGGAAACGCACCATTGGTGACTTCTCTTCCGAGCAGCTGCTACATGACCCGCCTGTTATGTGGTCTAGAATATGATGATGTTAGCATTATGGGATAGATATGCGAAAAGGCGCTGCTGGAGGCCAGTGACGTCATCCAAAATAAGCTTTTTTAGATTTGACCCTCTTGACACAATGTATTTTTGGCTTTTTGGCTTCCCAAGTGGGGTGGCATCCACCCCGTTTCACCCCTCCCTTTAGTACGTAAGGGTGAAACCCACTGTACAACAACCACCCATTCGACACGTCTTCTTCGCGATCACGAAGAAATGACCTCTTCCCTGCTCTTAATAATAACTGTCTCAGATTATTCTTAGTTAATAGGGAGGGAATGAAAATGTCCATTGGGCAAAATAAGAAAAAAACGGAATTTTTATTAACTAAACTTTTTATATCAGGAATGCTACAAGTCTTGAATTTATTTTTGATTTTTAATGGTTTTTCTGGTTTTCGCAGGTAATGACGTTTACCTCTAAGTGCGCATGTGATGATGGCTGTGTTACTCCTCCATCCACGGTTGATCCAACGAACCCCGCTGATCCAACCGTGAAGCCCAAACATAAAAGACTTAGCAAAGGCAGTATTATATTGATAACGTATGTAATGAAATCTTAAAATGCATCTGTATATGTCGTACAGTGTATATGTTGCTGCGTGGATAGTGCACAAGTTAATTTAATAGCTCAATTTTAGCAACTTTTTGATGAGGCTAAGTATGATAAGGAAAACTATTTTTTATTTAAAACATTTAAAAAGTTTCGATATATAAACCTTTTAATTCATAAGGAGTTAATAAGCTTCGAAAAACATCTTCTATAATATAATGAGTCACGTGCCATTTTTGTTCGTTTACGGTCTTTTTTTTAATTCGAAGACACGAAGTGTTACTCGTGAATTTGACATCACGATACCATCGTGTAGCATCCATTTTTTCAAACCGTACTATTCACCAAGCAAGAATGGTTTCCTTTCAATACCCCACAAAGCCGCTATTTGTATGTGCAAGGCAGTAATCCTTACTGACCCATATTTTCTAAATGAACAGAGAACAAAAATGCTCTGTCGACCGGAGGTAAAATGTTTTTCTTTAGCACGGCGCCAAAGATCAAAGGTCAGAAGGCTCTTAAAGGGGCTAAATGACATTATTGGTCATCCTATTAAAAAGCAAAAACTTGTTTTTGCATCAATTAAATTCCAAACAGAATGGTCCATGTTTTTATTTAAGAGTATATTTTTGCATTCAAACTCCTCTCTTTCGTCAGTTGTAAGGGATGACAAGGGTGGAAATGAATTGAAAATTTACGAAGTTAGCCCAGCTTTCTCAAGTCTTAATGCTATTCCTGCAAATATCATCGAAATAATAATGGTTCGTGCTCCCTGATGAAATTTGTTTAGAATCTATTTCATAACTCTACAGTAACATTTTTTTAACGTAAAAGCACTAATGAATGACTTGAGCACAGAGTTAACCTCAAACAGTAATATCCTCGTGACATACTCCCTTTCAGGCTAGTTGTAATCATTCGACCTTTGTTTACACTTGATCATTTATCTAAATATTTATATGTTAATAATATTTACGTTATGTTCTCATCTGCTTTCAGATTTTTTGTTTTGGTTTTCGTTTACCTTATTTGTGGAATTCTCATTAAGAAGTTTAAAATGGGAGCAGAAGGCTTAACAGAGATGGTACCAAATTATGAGTTTTGGGCGGATATTCCATCTTTAATTAAGGTGAGAAGTGAAGTGAAGTCTAGGAAATTTCTTAAAGTTCCACGTCTAAAAGAAGTATCCGATATGGTGAAGACAAAGCCTTAAGGTGACTCGACCCAGTTTTTGGGGGGGTACCATCCTACTTTGAAGCTCTCTGGTATCCCCACCTTTACTTTTATCGTAAGTATAACACATAGAATGGATAACTTATAGATCAATCTGCAATATGACAAAATTTTTGGCGATCGGAGTAAATGTCACGTGGTTATAATGCCACGCCCCTTTGAGGTCTGAGTCCAAAATCGGCTGTTGCCGGTATTTTATTGTGAAAATCTCTCGGCTACACATAGTGCGCATTAGTGCCTTGCGCTGAACAGAGTTTCACCAAAATCGCAAAGACCCAATTCGAGAAATTCAGCGATTTCCAAATTTAGGTCATAATTTATGCGAAAATGATAAGCAAACTTTACACGGATTATATCTAATAAACCAAGAGATTCATCCCTTTATTTTGGGCATCGTTATAACAGATGGGTCCTTGCAAGTCAGCAAAACGCTTTAGGGCCTTGTAAATGCGCGCGATTTCGAGCAAAGCAAACATATAGAAATAATAGTTTTCGCTATTTGTTGACGTTTGTCAGCGTTTGAGAGTCCTTCTCACGAAAAAAGCATTTTCTTAAAAATTCGTAGCTTTTTGTCCTTCAAATTTTTTCACGGCCACGATTGATTAACAAACTACCCGGACTCTGAATTTCATGGTCGTTGAAAAACGGTGACATTATCTTCTATAAGCTCAAACTTGAGTAAACATTGAAGATTTTTAGCGTTTTGGCTGAGCTTGTGCTTTGGGAGTTGTCTATTGTTTCTAGTCTGTCATTATACAGCATTGTTGTTCAGCACGCGTGCAATGACCGCGCTTGGCTGACTTCCGAATGCTCACAGATTTTGGACTCAGACCTCAAAGGGGCGTGGCATTATAACAACGTGACATTTACTCCGATCGCCAAAAATTTTATGTTATATTGTAGGTTGATCTATATGTTATCCATTCTATGTGTTATACTTACGATAAAAGTAAAGGTGGGGATACCAGAGAGCTTCAAAGTAGGATGGTACCCCCCCAAAAAAACTGGGTCGAGTCACCTTAAGGCTGGTCATGACTAACGACGGAGTCTAGTCTAAACTCTGTTGATTACGATCTATCTAGTGAAAACGAGGTTGTCGGAGTAGCAAGGAGAAGCGGAACAACTAAACCAATCACAAAGCGTGGAACTAGCCCAGTGATTGGTTGATCCTTTCGCTTCTGCTTCCGACAATCTGGTTTTCAATAGTTCGTAAACGACGGAGTCGTAAATTGAAACGTTCTGATTCTTCCGACTCCGTCGCGCTCTGATTTTTTTATTATCACAAGGTCATAAGTGCCACACCGCTTACGATTCCAACTCCGATTCCTTTGCTAGTGACAACCAGCCTAGCAGGTAGCTCCTACGCAGCCGGGAAACGGTTTTTGTTCAAATCGGCATATTACCGGTGATTTTGAAAGGAGCGTGACTGCACCACACCATAGTTAATAAAGTTGAATGTCATGAAGCCCGACAGACTCCTTTGTTATATGTTTTTGTCAGCTATTTTAGACTTGCCCGATAGCATTCTTATCATTTTGAACTTACTGACCAATAGAAACATCGCATTAATTTATTCAGTCACATTTTGGGAACAAAAAAAAAACCAAAGGATTGTGCACGGTCAGGGAGCCTCCAATATAAACTGCAGCACCATTGTTTTCATCTTTGACGTTTGCCGGCTTTCATAACCAGTCTCCTCTACTAACTATGGCCACACCGGTCTTCGAAATGGATTGCCACATATTGGACAGGTCTCCTTGCCACTATATGCGACAGTCATACCACACCGGAGTATTTTCGACATTAAGGAGCTTAAGCAATGACGACGGCGACGGCAACGAGAACGGCAACAGATTAGCAAAACAACAACTTGGCACGTCCATCACGCTTTTGTTTCATATCTTAGCCATCGTTGCACGACTTACAACGTGAGAGTGTCTAATTTCACGTTTTGTCGAGGACGGGAACTCAAGACAACAACTTCCTTTTTCTTTTCTTAAACTTTGATACAGTTCTTTAGGATTTAACTCCAACCGACTCGTTTTAAAAATATATATATTAAGGGCTTGTTTACATGGAGGTGGGGGACCCCAGATAAATGAGGTAACATATGTGGCGGGTCACTCCACATATCATGTAAACGTGATCATGAGAGATTATATGGACAGGTGGGTTACCTCACCTACCTGGGGTTCCCTACCGCCATGTAAACAGACCCTAAAAGGAGGCAGTCTGGTCTTTTATCAAACGTTTTCTTTTGTTGCAATTAATTTGCAAAGCTGCTTGCGATGTGGGTGAAATCGTACTATTATCACCCTTTCACTCCCGCTTATTATACGAGAGGTGGTGAAAGGGGATATAAATGTTCAGAAGGCAATAAATGTGGAGGTTACCCCTACCCTGGCAACTGCCTTAGTTGCAACTGGTAAATATCTTTTTGTAGATTAATGTGGGAGAAAAGCAGGCGCACACACAGTTCTCATTTTTAACACTGTTTTTCAAGTTTTCTGCATGCTGTGAGAATGAAATATTTAAAACGTTAGGTAAAAAAACGATTTAGTGCAAAAATCTTCAGGCTATAACAGCATCCTTATACCACAATCAGGTGCATATTTAATTAGATCATAATCGTCACGTGGGCAGTAGGTACAATTATTTTTCTTATTTTCCTTTTCAGGATGGAGTTGTATTTACGTGTGGTGGCCTCAAGTTTGGCTGTATGTCTATTTACAACAAATGTTGTAATCGAAAGTATTATAGTCAAATTTAAAACAAGAATGGTTAGGATTATACAATGAATTTCCAGAAATGAAAAGGTTTGAGATATCACGACGGCGATTGATAGTCAATTTGTTTTTCCCCAACTTCATGCGATAATTATTTCCAACACTTTCAATTTGTTCACGAGTTCTTCAGGAATTGAATTCTCGTGGACTACACTGTACATGTCATCGAGTGTTACTTTTGTGCAGTGACAACAGCCACCTAGTTTTTAGGATCTCAATCAATTTGTCTCCCTTGTCATCGAGTGGAGACCCTGTTCGAGCCTGATCAAGTGACCACCCCAATTCCAGGTCTTAAAAAAACTGTTTGAAGGGTGGGGTAGAAAAGTGTCTTCTTTGCCAGTGTTACAAATCTACTATGCGAAGGTGGGAGGGCTATTTATTGTTGTCACTTGCCACAGGGTGTCAGAGCTAATCAGGAAACTTTAGCAACGATGATGGCGACCACAGCGAAAACATCTTTATGAAAATGAACTCGTATTTTTTCAAAATCGTTGCGTTTATTCTAACTCGTTTAATATGTCAAATACAGGTGCATTTTCTTGGCCCCAGTTGTTCAAACGACAATGCAATTGACTTCAAAATACTTACCCACTGAATAGTGTTTTATCCGGTGGATAGCCCTATTCATCTCTTGAAGAACTGGAAGCTTGGGAAAAGAGAAAGAAACATTTATTTTCTTCTTTCTGTGTTTACATGCTCCTGCAGGGACGGCAAGCTGATGTACTAATAGCGTGAAACACGTAACAAAATGGTGTTCTTGGTACCTATTGCTTATTTGACGTTCTCGTTGCCGTTGCCGTCGTCATTGTTATAAAGCTCTCTAAAGTTTCAAAATACCAAAAAAATCTTTATTCTGCTGACTCATTTTTATATAGGATTTGTGCTACAGCGTGTCACAAAAATCAAAGTTGTTAAATGAAAAGAGCTGCCCTCGTCTCGCCTTCGGCTAAGTCGCTGCACGGTCTCTACCTCGGAGAGATTTTCCAAACTTGGTCTGTAGGCCATGCTCCGAGAAACTAAACAGCGCTAGCTTCTCTAAGACAAGACCCAGAGCAGTCAATCCTGTTGTGAAAATAAGATGAGCCGAGGATTTAAAAGATGTATTGAGACATCGCCCTCGGTTCCCGGTACGATTAAAAGTCTAGGTGAGATATGCCACAACAGCCGCAAAGAGCCAAATGCAGCATCTTCTGAACACAGCTAGAAAGTGCAAGCGCAGTTTATACATACTTCAAAATACCGCCGTTTAATTTCACGCCCCCCAAATTTGGACCTACCCCCCTACCGTTTTGAATTGGAAAGGTGGTCACATGATCATTGTCTATCTGCACGACGGCAAGGGAGGAAAGGGAGAAATAGCCAAACGCAGTCCCTTCAGAACAAAGCTAAGAGATGAAACTATCACGTTCAATCTCACCCTTCCCTAGTAACTATAAAATCATCTCTTCGAACATTGGTCGAGGGCCGACGCCTTCAGCGGTTTTTATTTAGAAAGGTGGTCACATGATCAGGTCAGAGTCACTGACAGACTAGGGTCTACTCGACGAAAAGGAAGGAAAAGGAGAAAGAGCTTAGGGAAGAGGATGTGACAACAAACAAATAAGATAAAAAGGGCGATACGTGCAAAGAGGAGTATTGTTATATTTATTACTCTTTAAACGTTCACGTTGCTGCTATGACATCTCAAACTTTTTCATATTTGGGGAATTACAATTATATTGCACAGTCATAGATTATAATACCCTGATTAGAAACTAAGGCCACGGATTGAAGGCCTCGCAGATGGTTATTACTTTCAACGTTTTTGCAGAGGCAAAGATATTTCATAGTAAAATTTGATATCATTGCCATCCAACGGTTCTTTTGACTGGCCCTTTTTGTTTACATTAATTAGTTCTGACAAGGGTTACACATAGAAGTCCCGGTGGATAATAATATATTTTAAGGATTTAAGTTTACCATGTTTTTAAGAATGAAGACGAAAGATAAAGTTGGAAAATTAAAATCGAAGAAAACAACAACAGAAATGTATCAAGTCTCTCCTTGTACTTGGGAGTTTCTTTAACTGCTGCCGGATTAGCTCAGTTGGAAAATGTTTTGGCCTTGCTGGTCGGGAAATGACAGGTTTGAGCCGCAGCGTAGGGTCTTAACACCTTCATGTTAAGATCATAATGGCTATGATTAAACTCATTAGCCTCATCATCCTTACCCTTCCTGATCAATTGGAAGGGACTTCTGTTCGATAAGAAAAGTAATATCATTGGGGGAGGGGACTGTTAATACAATAACACCCCATGAAGGGATAAAGCTACGTTCACACAGTCACCGAACCAGTTTATGACCGGTGGAAAAATTCGTGTATTAACCAAAATCTAGGTCAAATTTTTAGCCGGTATATTCAAAACTTTGATCTGCGTGATGTGAACGTCGTAACTTTCCACATTTTCGTACGGCAAAGGCGTGGCTGGGAAACGCCATTTTTGATGTGCTAAAGTAACGCTGTTCCCATAGCAAACGCAGAGACTTATACACGTCCATCATCGAAAGTGATCGTTAAGCGCCGCTTTGAGTGGGAAACGGTGTTTGAATTTGAATACTTTTTTAAGCTATTCTTACGTAAAGAAGAAATTTCACTCCTTTGTCAAAAGCTTAGGCGTAGTTCCGGGAAGCTGTTTTAAGTTTGTAGTGTTTACACCCATATTCAACACTTAACTGGTTTTGAATGCAATGCAATAAAACTATCAGCCAATGAGACATAATCTATTGGTTTGTGAGGGATAGGTCCGAAAACGTTACCAGCCTTTTTGAAAAATTTAGTTTGGAAACATTACATTTAAAGATGAAAGTTTTACTGTCAAACTCAGAAAAACGTGAACACCTGAAAATGTCTTGAATGTTGATTGTGTACTGGCCAATCACAAAACCACAAACTTATTACCGTTGCTGTTTGCGGTTTAGTTATCTCTCAACTTATTGGCTTATTTCTTGCAACACAATAACATTCGATAAATATTTCTGGTGTTCACGGTGAGTTTCACAGTAATGTGCTAGAGAATAATAAGACAAAGTTGGGCAAGTAACCGCATAAAGATTGTTTGCATTTTAAATTTACAATACGGTAACGAGACCAAACGTCGACAGGCATTTTAGGAAACGAACCCGGGTTCCGTACTGCAGGTTATTGAATATGTTTATTTATTATTCATTCCAAAATATTTCGCCATCTCTGACTGGTTCCAATTCCTCTGCTAATTCTTCACAACCAACCAGCCCTGACCAAATTTGGGAGATGCGAGCAATATACCATCGATTCGATGGTATGTTTGATTTTAAACGAGACTGTATGGCGCGGCCAAGAGTGAACTAAAAAACAGGCGTTCACGGCTATCTAAAAACAGAACAAATATAAGAAATAGCTGAATTTCTGACTAGAACTGAACGGAAGAAATGCAAGAATACACAACAATATTGCTCGATGGATGTTATCTACTTTTCGAGGAGTATCTCTAATATCATATCATATCCTGAAACCGTGCCGAAAAGAAGCCAAAGTTCCACTGAAACTCTAGGAGGAAGTTAGCACGTTAAGAACTTAAACATATATTTTGAATCAGTCAATAATAAAACCATCGGCGGATAAACATTTTAGACAACAGTCTCCTCAATCTGCATAATTCTTCATAACATACGAAAGCCGAATTCAATAATTGCTAAATATGGTGATGGTTATAGTAATTTCATTATGCTACGATACTCGATTGACTCGAGCCCATAGAGACCACACACGATGCCTTTTCAATGCTCTGAAGAATCTTCAGAGCACGTTCTTGTCATAGGCTTTGTAAGTCTCCAGGGAATCCATCTGTTGTGCACCTGGCGATTGATGCTTAAAAATAGGAGTGGTCAATGTGGTCCAACGCTGGTGAGAGAAAAACAAAGCAAGAAATCCAAATGAAGAAAGAAGCAAGATCTAATTCAACTCCGTAAAAGCAACATCAATTCATAGCTCTTTTTAGTGATCCTGTACAACCTTCTCTAGCGAGAACCGACTGAGCCTGGACAAGAATTGGAAGGTCGTTATTCTGCTCATCAAAATTTCGTTAAGGGAGTCACTAGGATACTGCTGTTTCAGCTGAGGTTATGAATTAGTACCTTTTTCACAGACAAAATTCCTCTGTAGAATTATGAAAAAGGTATCAGGTTGCAGGCAAAGCATTAATTTTTAAAGCTGACCGAAATTTTCTACGTTTTATAGCATTAAAATTCTATATGGCCACTGGTCAGAAATTGCCCACCTACCCCTCCCCATAGTGAACATTAACACTTACTTCTAACTTTGGGAAAAATGTTGGCTTAGGGGAGAGGTGATGGCCAGTTTCCAAGAGACGTATAATGATCCGTTGTATGCATAATTATCAAAATATTTGATTATAATTACCTCCTTAAAAGAACCCGGTGTAGTGACAAACTTGTACAGCATCACAAATGGTATACAGGCGATTGATGAAAGGGCCATGACCCAACCAATGGCTTGTCCCCAGTCTGGATAATCATAGTCGTCATATTTGAGCGGCGAATATGTCACGAGACTAAAAATGAAGACCGCCTGTTGGGGAAAAATGAACTCACTTCAACGTACGGAATAGTATATTCCGCGACGCAGTAACAAAAACAAACAAGTGAGGCATTCTACACAGGCCTTGAAAAACTTCCCGTCCAGTAGTCCGGGACAAGTAGATTTTCTCTGGGCAAGTAACTTTTTAAGCTCATTTGCACAATAGGCAAAGGTCCAGCAAGTAATCTTCTAAGAAAATCGTTAACTAATACGAGCAAGAAAATGCGAGAGCTGCTTACCAAAAGACAAACAAAACTTCAAGTTTTTTTTTCGAGGCCCGATTACACACTTCCTTTGTGGTGAGTGGAATGGCAATATCAAAAAAGGCCCCGGAATTACAAAAGGGAAAAATCTAGACATGATTCTGAAGTAATTTCATAATTTCACTGAGGTCATTCCTGTCAAATTTTTGTCAAACGTTACCAACTGGTTAGTTATATTAAAGAAACTTCAAATTTGAAATATTATTGGGGGGGGGGGTCCCCATACTCTTTAAGGAGCAGCAGCAACTTGTGTATATGCAATAATTCATTACATGTGATTATATTTACGAGTACATGCTTTGAACACACTAATTTCCCCACGATTCCTCTTTTTCTACACTAGGAATAAGTCTACAGTGTGTATTAGAAATTTAATGCCATTGTTAAAAAGACAAAAAATGATCTGTCACCATGCTCGTTTAAAAGAAGATGACGATTTACTGTGCACACCTCTGGGAGTTCCACCCTTGAGGCAAAAGCCGCCATTTTTTAATGTGCGCACGCTATTACACGTGAAAATTGTGCGCGGTAAGGGTGCGCAATACAGTGCTATGGAATAACCTTAAATTCGTTTCCTCACCAAGCAAAAGGCAGGTGTCATCAACATCCAACACCAGCGGCACCAGGGATTGATACGAAATCCAATCATTCTTTCCATGTCGTCATAGAAGCGCTTGCCACCTGAATGATGATATATATAAAAAGAGTCACAACGTAACAAATCAAAGTTATTATCCTTTCCTTTTATGGTTCAACAGTAATGACACTCTGAGGGCGTGGGGCATAATAAGATTATGTAACCGACCCAGCATAAAAAGGAAAGGTATAGTGGGCGAAGCTTGATCAGGTCTCTCACGAGCGCGTTTTAAATCCATAAAACAATGCTGAAGAAACTATCTCTTTTTAAAATTTTTTTTGAATCAAATTGAATTCTTAACCATGTTCGAAGATGTGCAAACGATCCAAAATGGAGCAGATGTAGTGTTGTTTATTATGGGTACGTGAGTAGGCAAGATGGAGCTATCTTGGCTTGTTTGTGTCCATAAGAAAAAAATCCTGTTGCAAACAAATACACAGACTGACCAGTCTTATTTCGGGTCATGTTTGATCGACATCAGACTCTATTATATTTTTTTCTATGGATGGACGATGTGAACCTCATCACTTGACAATAACACAAACAAAACCCAGGTTATTTTATTTCATATGGCATTTTTCTCACCGTATATCCAGCCAATGGCGATACTTTGGAAGAGAGCCACCCAGAGGAGAGCAGAACCACTGGCGGAGTAAGCATCAAATAGTTGAAAGACATACATACCACCCTAAACAGAACAAACAAGCAGAAAACTGCCATTAGTCGTGGCGAACTTGTTTATCGTCCGATCCTTATTAATGTAATAATTTCTTGACAGAAATCTCACATCAGAGTCGTTTAATGGTGACAAGGCTTTGTCCTCGCTTTGTAGGCGTTTGCACTGCTCTGGATACCCCAATGCTGCTTATCCTAAAAAAGGAAGACCTTTTCCTTGAGACCACTCGTCTACTACCAACGTCGCATGGGTAGAATTCCCGGAATCGCCTGTATGTTGGTCGCATTTGTTGTTAGCTATAGTCCTTTTTCCGCAAAAACAAACCTTTCAACGCATAACAAATTTCCAAAATTTTTTTGCAATTATATTATATGTTTACGAACTGAAATGTTATGAAGCAGGAATCTTTTTCTGCAGGTATGCCAAGCTCATACTTATAGGTTCTATTTAATGGACTTAGCTCCAATTAACTGAACACTTTCTCCGGAAGATTTATCAGCATCAACTCTCGTAATCTGATGTCCTCGCTCGGTAAAAATGGTGTAACCTAACTCGATCGATACCTAATCGAGCGTTGATGTCGGGTAAGAAAATACACCGTTGCAATGACCGTCGCTTGAGTTTTGGTTTCCTTTGGAATTTGAGTGCCAAAGGACACATAGGGAATGGGAGAAAAACAAAGAGGCATCAGTGGCGGATCCAGGGGAGAGGCCCAGGGGGCCCGCCCCCCCTCCCCCCCTCCTTCTTTTTAGACCAAGCTGAGGCCCGAAGGGCTGAGAAAATTTTTTTTTGAGACCGAGCCCCCTTATCTCAGGCTCTAGATGACCGCCCACACCCCCCTTATCTGAAGGTCTGGATCCGCCAATGGGCATGATATTATTACTAGATTATTTTCCATTGTCGGTTCGCCTCTCGCTTCTAAAATATTTACTTTGGAAAAGATACTGCAGTAACCACCGACCAACAAGCAAGGTGAACGCTTCACAAGTTGTGAAAACTTCGTTTTAGTGGTTCCAGACCTTACCTCCCCACACCCCTGGCATTACCTCTTTTCTTTATAATCTGTGGTGATGTATGTAAAGTGAATAGCAAAAGTATCTGGAAATTTAACCCAAAGCGTAAGCCTTGAGTTTATATTACAGAGATCTTGAGACTTTTAGATCCCAAGAGGAGGAGGACTACGAGAACGAAATTACTGGAGCGCGGGTGAACCAGAGTCATTTTGGCGGGAAAACGTGATAGCCGAAGTTTTAGTGGCGGAAAAAAGTTATTGGTTGTTAGATGTTCAACTTTTCTTGTGCAAAAAGTAAAATGAAGCTTTCCTCGATACCTATCTCTTGAGAATACCTTAGGTCAAATTTCGCTCTCGTAGTCGACGTCGCCATGCAATCTAAAGGTCTCTAATAATAATGCTTTACACTACTACAGGAGAAATTTCAGCAATTTGATTGGCTTAGAGCAGTGGTATTTCAGCTTAATTTGAAATACCTACATGTGAAAATTACAAACTTTCTGCGGGTAGTAGTATAAGCAAATAATAGCATGATTTGTACGTGATATTTGGCATAAATACCACTCGTGATATTTCAAAATTGTCGGAAACTTCACTCACTTAACGGCTCGTGGGTATAACAGTTTTCAAATATCACTCGTCGTATTTCTGCGAAATATCACTACTAATCATACTATTACCTATAGTAATATCTCTCTTGTTCGCCTAATTTCAGCACTCTGCTCTCAGGTACACGAGCATAAAATAAGAGGCTGAGAAGATTAATGACGCAAGAACAAAAGAAAGGATATAAACAAACAAACAAACGCTAAAAAGGAAGAGAAGATTAACTTGAAACATTCCCTATTTAACTGATGCGCACGTAGCGTTGATCTCATTAATCGCAGTGTTTTTGTTCAGCTCTCATCATGGTTCAGTGTTTCGCTGTTTTACTGATTCTCTGTTTTTCTGGGGGTTCACTGGGAACAACTACCTCACCTCAGCAACAAAACACCGCAAAGTTAAAAGATTTATGCGAGGTAAGAAGAGAGAACTATTTTACCTTTCAAAAGAACTTTCACAATAACGTTGCACGGGAGCCGCCTGCCACTGGACTCATTGCTACCACTCAAATACATGTACGGGCTTTTGCACAGTTATTCGTGTGCCATCTTTAACTTGCACAAGTTAATATCCTATCACATAAACCGCAAAGATATTCACATAATACAGCTAACATATTTCAATTGTCGACCTTTTTGTCCCTGCTTCAGAGACTAGGAATTCAAACGACAGTTTTTCGATAGCACACTTTCTTCACCACCGGCTATTGTGCTCTTACAAAAGAATTGAAGCGGCGGGTGGGTGACTATTAGTTCATTGTCACGAATGTTTGGTCGAAACTTACAGAAACCTGACCTTCAGTCCATGGGGAAATATTCTGTAATCCTTTCAGAAATCGCCGTTTTCAAGCACATGCCACAACTTTTTTTCAATTTCATCGAGTATAGTGCGTTTTCACTCATGTGGCAACCATCTGTGCAAATTTATTGGAACAAAAGAAAGAACGCCGTCTAGTTGTTTAGAAATCCAGTATGGCTGTTGTGACGTTACACGTGAAAACGCTCTATTTTAATAGAAAAACAAGTAGACCAAAAAGGTCCAGCTCGCACCACCCTCCCCCGACGTCTTTTAATCTAGGGCACCTTGATTTTCAGAAATCAATACTGGGTTATGGTTTTCCCGGCATACCAGGATCAAACGGCATGCCGGGAATGCCCGGTGTTCCGGGGCCGCAAGGACCACAGGGAAGGGAAGGTGCAAAAGGACAAACCGGTGATAAAGGATCGCAAGGAATGCTGGGTCCAAGAGGAGACAAAGGGCGCGAAGGGCCTCTCGGGAAGAGTGGACCGCCAGGAATCAAGGGAATAAAAGGTGAAAAGGGACTTGTGGGGATAAAAGGAGAGCGAGGCATCGTGGGAAATCAAGGAAGAAAAGGAGACAAAGGAGAGAAAGGAGAAAGCGTCAAAGCAAGTCAAGCAAGTGTAGTACCACAAACCAACTGGAAACAATGTGTGTGGAAATCAGAGAGCCACACTGATAACGGAAAGATTAAGGTAAACAAGGAACGGGCTCAATGAGACAACACCCCAGATTTTTGTTAAAGATTTTTTAACAACATTTTACAGCTATAGGAAGATAAATTTTCCTACCACTTTCAACTTTTAATTCCGCTCCCCGCCAAAGCCGTATTAAAAATAACAATAGAAAGCAGTTCACTACTTTTGGTTTTATTTCAGGATTGCAGCTTCAACAAATTGAAGGCAGATACAGCTCTTAAAGTTTCGTACCAGGGAAATGTGAGAATGTCTAGTGATGCGAAGTGTATTCGATTGTACTTCAAATTCAATGGAAATGAATGCAGTGGACCAATGACGATCGAGGCTGGCGTATACAGTGACTGGCCTGGGAGTATCCCAAACCTTCATCACCATCGGTCATTTGAGGGCTACTGCGAAAACATTCCTAAAGGAACGGTTCGGGTGGAATTATGGGTAGGTCAGTGTGGTAGCCATAGTTTGGGCGACGCTTACACCGGTTGGATTTTGGTGTCCCGTATAATGATTGAAGAAGTATCCAGGCCGCAGTCATAGAAAGCTTATATAAGAGAAACTACCTCTTTCAGTAGCAAATACAATTTAGCAAACTTAATGAATCCAGAACAGTCAGATTGTTAATTCGCTCTGCGTCGAAAAATAACTTTGAATTAGTATATATCGTCCTTTTTCGTTTTATTCAGTTATGATTTTATTCCAAAAGATGTAGTTTGCGGGTATAGTAGAAAATAGAAAAACTACGTATATAATTCTTTCTTAGAATTATATCTAATATGTAGATTCAATAAAGCGTTCATAAGAAAACAATTATCATGAAATTCACAGCCAAAGAGCAAGTTTGGCCCCAGCTTTTCAAAAGCGGTCAATACAATATCCACCAAATATTCCTATCCAATGAATAGCGCAATTTGTTTTCTTAATATATCAATCGCTGAATATTGATTTACACAGCAGATCGTGCTTTCCAGCTGATAGACAACTGGGGCTTGGTGGTGGCTTTCTTTGTAACAGAAAGGAGCGGGACTTAGGGTTAGTTCCCTAGCGGGGGAATGTGATCTGTGCATTAATGTTTCTGGTCAACAACATTATAAATGTTATGTTATTACTAGCTTGTGCTTTTTCTATGAGAATAATCAAAAGCGCATTACAATTGATTACTTTTCCGAGTCATTTTACAACCATGAACAAAACTTCTAAGTTTTTAAGTGCGTTTGAAGGCTAGCCTGTGATCATGCCTTCCTTATGTAAGTACATAAAGGTTTTTTTCGACACCAGTAACACGCAACCTAAACTCAATGCGCGAGACGATATATTAAAAGAAAATAAAATCATCTAACCACTAATTAAGATAATTAGATTTCAGGCTTCAACGCGGTAAAATCGAGAAAACGTTACTAATTATAAACAGCCATGGTTCAATGTAATTCCTGTTACAATGTAAGTATTCTGCATTTGGATTCTTTATACTATTTACAGACAAAAACTACTGAAGTTTAATTTTTTCTCAACCCATAAAATCTTACTCAGCACCAGAATAATTGTGGGGAAAAGGGGGCAATGGATGACGTGCTCCTAATATAGGAAAGACAGTTCGCCACTTTTCTCGTGAAATTATGAGGATCTACAATGCACGAGAGTGGCCGAGCCGTGGGAAGATCCCGTGAAGAGAGTTACCTGTGACAGAAAATTAACTGTTTTGTCTTTCTTGAAGGATTTAAAGCGATCTCGGGTTATTAGATTGACTTGAATTTACGTTGATGCGTACATTAGCTTATGGAAGCGGTTGATATAAATTAACCAATTTATGAAGTAAAAGACTGGCTTAGATAAATGCTGGTGCAAAATAACTATAAGGGAAAACATACCTTAGTAACCATGGTTAAACCAATAAGGTACCAAACCATGCATACACAGGCAATGAAGATTTCTTTACGATAACCACGCCTTAACTGCTTAGGAAACAGATCCACAATTGCCGTCACGAAACCTTCAATGCCTACGAACTTGTATCAGGAAATATAAAAATAGTTTAGTGAAGCAAGTATGAGATGCGTCTGACTGCTACCTATAGCTTACAGCAAAAACCGTTCTTTGACGTTTTGGTTGGGGAATGCACAGGTGTACGTGTAAGGAAATTCAACTATACAAGACAATTTTTTATGGACATGTTATTCTTAATTCACAAAACCAGAAAACAAAAACTTAAATATCCCACAAAATCAATTTCTTTGCCCCATTAAAAATAACCGTTGTAGTCGCTACATGGCTGACGGAGGCGCGAACTCGCTGAAAGCCAACGTCTGTTTTGCCGCCTAAACGCGAAGGCCATAAAAAAGGAACAAATGAAAAAAAATACAATAATAAAAAAATTATTGGCTCTGTATTGTAAATAAAAGCAAACAAAGAAGCAAAAATTATTTAACGATATACAAATAATCGACTTCATTAACAATCACTATTTTCCTTGCTTCGGATTTAATGGACTATTTTTTGATTGCTTAATGGTATTGAGTGAACCTCGCAGCCAATAATCTTTCCACAAAAAAAACCAAAACATTATACTACATGGTTTGGAAATGTTCCATACCTCGCTGTCAAGCCCTAACAGGAAGACCATAAAGAAGAATAGAACCGACCAGAGAGGAGCCAACGGCATCTGAGCAACTGCTTCTGGATAGGCGACAAAAGCAAGGCCTGGACCTAGGACATACCGGAAATAAATATTGAATATAGGTCCTATGGCATTGTTCTAACAGCCAATCAGCGTTAAGGCCAAAATCTGGCCTCAGTGAGCACAAGCCTGTGAGGCTTTGTATCAGGCTCAATTTTAGCGGGAGACCGTAAGAGAGAATGTACGAGAACTGCTAAAATTGGGCCTGATGTCAGGTTCTAAAATGACGCCGAAGTGCAAATGGCTTATGGAAGCAGTCACCTTGTCGGAGTGGAAGGAGGCAGCGTGACCGAATTATCCGAGGGTCCCGAGGTAATTTTCCCCTCTAAAAAAATCTGCAACATGCATCTAATCTAATCATCAACCTACAAACCTTTTCCCCATTAAAAAAGTACTTCTTCTCTCATAATGGTATCCGAGTATTGGAAGTGAATTTATTAATAGTGATATATTTATCAAGACCTCCTTAAGGTGTCTGGATAAAATTCGTTTTGATCAGGTTAACAATGACATCGGAGTTGATATGGCAACGAAATAACGTCATTACTTATTTTACTTGCAGCCATATTTTTTGGCATTGGGAAATCTTCTTCCAACGGGAGCTTTTTCTTCCAATACCAGCCCCGACGTTCGTGAAGTTTAGGCGAAATCTATAAGAGCGTTATCGAGATGTTTTGGGATGAAGTTTTTATGGAAAGAAATACGGTAGTGGCTTTGTAAACATTTTGGTCGACTTAAAAAAAATAAGCAAATAATTTTGAAACCGCTCGATCGATTTTTTTTTTTGAAAATTTCAGATTCCCGAGATTAACCGTCGTTTTATAAGACCTTTGAGTTTCAAGATTACTGATAAATTGTAACGCAGTAAAATAAAGTCTGCAATTCGGTAATTTTTTTGTCGGAAATTTCGTGTTTACACTGAGAGTCTCATTATTCACTTGTTATCTCCAAGTTTCATCTTTTCGTGGACAACAATATTTCAAATTCATTGTTAGTTAATGCTGTTCACTCAAGAATGAAACTTGGAGACAATACCCCTGAATCATAAGAGTAAAATAAAAGTAAAATAAGTAATGGCGTCATGTCGTCGCTATAACGACTCCGATGTTATTGTAACCCTGATCAAAACAAATTTCATCTTTATCTAAGACAGTTGTGGTGGTAATTTTTCCAAATCTTAATTAATGGAGACGTAGTCTATGCTCAAACTTGGGAGGTATTGACCCTGAAAAACCCCATCGAGCCACCTTAAAACATGGAACAAGATTACACTTTTTATAATTAGGCCTGTGTACATTATGCTAGCATTTTTTTGAGCATTTTAGTGAGGCAAAAGCATCAAGCATTATTCAAGCATTTTAGCGGCATTTTTGCGGAAAATTATTATTTTTTCTCACAAAAAATAAAAATTGTAAGAGAAACGACTTAAACTCCAAATTCTAAAGAAGGATTCAAATTTCACCTTAATATAGCCGTGTAGATGAACATATTTTTGCTGTATTAAAACTATTTTACCTGTATACATTGTTGTCATACCAATTATACATTTTTGGTTAGCCTTACCCCATTAAAACGTTCAGCACTAATAAAATCTATGATGAGCATTATCGAGCATTAGTGATTTTTTTTTTTTTGAGAGGGGGGACCAATCTTTTTCGTGGGAAAAATGGAGCGCTAAGGTGGAGCATTTTAGTGGGGAAACAAAATTATAATGTACAAAGACCTTTTTACAATGACCTTGGTCAAGAGCTTTATCCTCTCTTGCCTTGGTGAATTCAAAAAAGCAAAGTGCTAAAATGCATGGATACAAAGCAACTGGCATAAATAGTCCAAGAAATTTTTTATAAGTTTCATAGAAGTTGACATGCGTTAAGATTTCCGTATAATTAGGGCGATATCCCATTGATTCTTGGGTAGTATCCGTATTCATTCTTACCTCCTTTGGCGACATCCTCTACTTTTACGCCTTGCTTTTGCGCCATAAAGCCCAACACGGAGAAAATTACAAACCCACCATAGAAACTCGTGCCACTGTTTACACAGGCGAATATTATGCTATCCCTGAACCAGAACGAAAAATAAGTTAGAAGGGCACAAGAAAGTGCAAAGGTACTAAGCTCTGACGTCAGCATACAAAGGCGCCACTTGCAGCCGCTCTCAGTCCATTTATGAGCTTACTGTACCCACCCAACCCATGATGTGAATGATGTGATGTGTAAAGGTTGACCACAACACCGGGGTCTACGTCCCCCACTCTTTTCGAACAGTGATGTGGGTTCTTTTACGTCCCACAAGAACCAGATAAATGTAAGTGCTGTGAGGCGGGACCTACGGTTTATCGTCCTTGTCCGAGAAGACTAGAAAGTCTAACCGTTTGCAGATGTTATTACAAAGGCAGCACTTTCTTCTCAGTTAAAAGCCCTTAGTGTTGGTCCGAGCGGGGTTCGAACCGGTGACCTCCCGCTCAACAGACCGGCGCTCTCCCAACTGAGCCAACCAGGCGGCACATAAACACCATAAAATGACTGCCAGCTACGCAGGCTAGTATTTCGACTACAATAAGAGAGATCTTTGAAATGGATTACTAAGGAGAAAATGAGGACGTCTAAGGGTTCTATGGGAAGTTCCAGTGCAAGTTCTAAATGATTACTGCAGTCATGTTGTCACTGGCGAAACAGAGCCTTAAAGAATAGAGAGATAGAAGCCTAATCTGCTGGTATCGATGATGATCTTGAAGTGTCATTTCTTACCGGTAGCAATTGTGATTGAATTTGTTGTAACTTCCAAGCGCAATAAGTGTTCCAAGGCCAATAGAATACGAGAAAAACACTTGCGTTCCAGCGTCTAACCACACCTGTGCAATTAAAATTAAGAATTTGTTCATGCTTAGCGTGCGTATATCGAGTTATGGATGCACGCGGGAAGTTTGGAGAGCACGAAAGATGCGTAAGAGTTGCACGAGGCGATAGCCGAGTGCAACTCTAGCTTCTTGAGTGCTCTCCAAACTTCCCAAGTGCATCCATAACTCGATATACGCACAGCTAAAAGCATGAGCAAATTCTTTTATAACATAGCTGACAAAAATGCTTGCTTTTTGATTAACTACAAAATTCTCTTAACACGCTACACAATAACAAACGCTTCTATTGGCTGATTACGAACACACCACAATCATCTAGTTTGAATGAAAATATTCTTTCTATAGCTTTTCTGTAAAACTGAGAAGGAAAATTTGCTTCTTTATTCGTTAACGATCAATGGAAACTAAGCAGAAACAAAGGTAAAAGAGTCTTAAAGTTCACCTAAAGTTAAAATACTAACATGTTCGTAAGAAGTCGTGGAGTATGGTTTGGATTTGCTGAAAAGATGTTACGTTTTGCTCGGCGAAATCCAGAAAACATGTTTTTAGTGAAGACGACTGTCATCCTTCTTTAAACTCATATTCATTTACAAACATTGGCTGGTCATTACGGCTTCTTGAGAAGACCTAGCAGCAGTTGTTTTTGTGAGTAATAAATTTATGTCTTCTTGTGTAATTTGTGTTGTTATTGCGAGTGAAATCTTCCTGCCTCAGTCGGATTGTCCAGAGATAACAAAAGTGCGTAACAAATTTAAAAACAACAATAAAAACGGAAATTTAACCTCTTAATGTTGTTGATGACCAGTTGGTGTCTGTTCTGTTCCCAGTGAATGTTTTTCGGCCAAAATGTGCTGCAGCTGGTCTTCCGACAAATTTGCGAAACGCGCAACAAGTGAGTTTGTTTTAATTCGGCTCTACTTTTGCTGCTTGTTGGATCAGGACCTAAAAGGTCAATGCCGATAGAAAAATTGGGCAGTTCTTCGCTGGTTTCTTCCATATTTTAAAGAGAAGGAAAACTGCACTGCAGCTTAAAAGACGACAACTTTGCAGCCAGGTAAAAAAAAAATGCTTACGTCATCTTATTTACGCACGGGCGTGCGTAAATAAAGATTTTGTTCATAGCGGCTCAATAGGACTTATATAGGGCAAGCACGCGCGCTATGTTATAAAAATAAATAAAAATCAGGTTCCGTAAAAAAGTATGTTCCTTACGTATACGTACAGCTATACTAGAGAAAATTAGAGTCACGATTACGTCAAACGTGAATTAGTACCACGTGACCACTTTCCCCCGTAAATTGAGAATCTCTATTTTGAGAATTTCTCAACTTTGCATCTGACGTTTGCGTTTAACTTCACTCTAAACTATCACTACCATAAACAAAGGCAGCATTCACGTACACCAATCTCACTCAAAACCTCTGTTGTGTTGAATTAACGCTTAAGGGATTGGTTTATCACCCGCTAAAGGGCTTTCGGATCTCGTTCTTTACAGACGACTCAAATATGCGTGAACAAAGCAACTTATGTGAAATCGTGTGCGCATGCGTACGGTACTGGCCGATCCGTTTCCGCGGACTTAAGCTTTCTATTTGTATGTTCTCACCTGGCCATCCTTAAGTCGGGTCACATTTGGAGTAAGATAAAACTTAATACCCTCAGAGGCACCAGGGAGGGTGACGGCTCGTATTAGAAGAATTGTCAGCAGGATATATGGAAAAGTTGCAGTGAAATATACAACCTGTAACAGACCGAGACATGATGTTGGAAAATGAAACCAATGGCAAATATGTGCATTGGTCAGATGATTACTAGTTTACAGGCCTCAGAACATATATTTAACAAATCGACCACAATTTTCCATGGTCTACACTCTTAAAGACCATAGAAATGACGTCTAAGATGTTCAAAACTCAAGTGGAACCACAAGCCGCAGGCGAATGGTTACACTGCAAAGTTTTGAGCATTTTATGGCGTCAATTCTCTGGTCTATAAGAGTGTCGACCATGGAAAATTGTGGTCGATTTGTTGTTTACAATAACATTTATTTTTTTACGAAGACAACCGGCACTGCGTGACATGTTACGTCATTTTCATGGTCTTTTTAAGCAACAGACCACACTTTCTATGGGTTTACCAGCGTGAAAACCCACCCGGGATGTTGGGGGAACACGAGAAAACCTTGTAAATCATCAGCCGAATATGAAATAACTTTAAGTTTTCTGAGTTTACTGGCACAATAAACCATAGGTTTTTAACCCATCAGATGTATACGTCCAACAAGAAAAGGTATTTAGTGTTATTTTATGGCCAAAAAAACTCTTTAAAGAAACTCGTGATACATGCAGAGCTATATACTCCAAACAGTGTATCATCATTTCCCAAATCCCTCACCTTGCCTGTAGACTTTACTCCTTTGAAAACGCAGAGGTAACAGATGATCCAAGCCAACAGCAGACACAAAGCCAGGTCCCAATTCACAGTTCCTGGTTCGTCCAGAGCGTTACCAATCTTTAATACTCTGAGCCTGAAATCCAGATAAGGTAGCAAATGATTTTTAGTACACGTTTTTTGTCACACTTATAGGGAAAATTTTAAATCGAATAGGAGTACAAAATAGTTCGAGCACATACATGTAAGACTTGTCTCACTAATCGTTTTGTGTAGTGCCTATATCTCCAGCCATGTGTACTATTAAGGTAACTCCACGGAGTTTTTTTTTTAAGGGTCAATATCTCCCATGTTTGTGTATTATCTACGTCGCGATTAACAAAGACCTGGAAAAATCAGTACCATAACTTTATTAGAAACAAATTAAAATTTCTCATGTCAGGGTTACAATGACATTGGAGTTGTCATGGCAACGAAATAACGCCTTTTCTTACTGGAAATTCAGCAATAAACTGGACTTTCTTGACGTTCGGTCGTTACGTTTAGAAAACGAAGCGCTTTTGAAATGCAATTTTACCTCACAGTAGTTTTATTAACTTCTAAAAGGTGGTTGAAAAGATCATGAGGATAGCATTAGTTACTCGCAAGAAAGAAAGATATGATTATTATACACTGAAGTGCTATTTTTGGCGTTTTTTGTTAATAGTTTGGTCAACTTGCACAAATGAGCGAATAATTTTGAAACCGCTAGAATCTTTTTTTTCAATTTGAGATTCTCAAGATTAACCATTGTTTTAAACGACCTTTGAGTGTCAAGATTATTATAACTTTTAAACAATGAAATAACGGTTACAATGTGTCAGAAGTTTCGTGTTTACAATAAAAAGCCTCTCATTATTCCGGTTTATTGTCTCCAAGTTTTATATTTTTATGGAAAACAACAGCTGACATGTCTGCCTATTTCAAATGCATAGATTTTACTCAAACTTCGCGAACATCCAGGCAGCTATATGGGAAAAAAGCTCCCCCAAAACTATTTTAGAAAAAAACGTCCCCAGTGCCGAGAAAAACAGCAATTAAATTGGTAATGGCGTCATTTCGTTGCTGATGACATTGCCACCCGGATCATGACAAATTTTAATCTTAGCTAATACAGCTGTGCGGGTAATTTTTCCAATCTTCGTTAACGGCGCCCTAGTTACTGCTCCTTACGCCTTCAACCCACTCAGTCATTCAGTTAACCCTACATGTAGGTTCTCAATATAAATCCATACAATAAAACATGTATGAAACTACAAACGAAGCAAGTAAAGAATGCAGTAGATGTTTTCTTTGTACGATTATTGTTGGTTCCAAAGTTTAGCTTTACGAGTGCGTACGAGAATGAGATAACTTACTCCCAATATTCCACACTTGCAGAAACCTTTGCAGCTTTGGCTAAAGCAGTTGGCGTTGTTGAGACGTTGGACATGTTTGCCATGATCGTTGGTAAAACAGTGGCATTCCCCAAGGTTGCGTTTACACCTGTGCTGTTTGCTATGGTTCTGTTCACACTCTCTCCAGTGCTATTGGTCGCTGTAGTGAATTCAACGCAGTTTGCGGTGTTCCACTCATTTCCACACGTTGACCAGGGAAGAACAGAAGTGAAAGACGCAAACATGTAAAACAGAGCCCAGCCCAGAATAACAATGTAGTAAATGTTCAAAAACTGGACTATAATTACACTAGCACAACCAATGCCTAAGGAGTGAAAAAGAAAAAAAAAACCTTTGTATAAAAAACTATGTATAATGAGTCCGCTTTAATTTGTAAATAAATATAAACTGATGCGCTGAATTCGTCCAAACAAGAACAAGTTTTAGTATTTGTGATCCCAATCAGAGTTCCCATCAACGCAGAGGTGTGCATCATATACGCACAAAAAATGAAAAGGACGCACAGTTTTTTTTGTCATAGTGGCATACCCAAAAATCTTTGCGATCACCATGGCATGTCTTTCGAGCCGCCATTTTGTCACTCGTCGGGTCATGTCTATACAAAAGTTTATTCGATATTGTTTAGCCTTCAACATCGGGGAAAACTTAATGACATAAAGATCAGGGGGACGATACCCACGTGAAGAAACGCAAATTTTGTCGTAAATAGCTTGAGGAGTTTCAATGGTTAAAATTTGTTGCCACTGAAAAACAAATGAAGCGCAAAGTTCGGGCTCATCCTTGGTGTAAGAACTTGTTTAACTCACCGGTGACGTAAAATAAATAAAACAAAGAAGTCAACACAATAAAACCAAGAAAAACAAAAGGTACAAAACAATGAAAAAGTTCTCAAGTTCTCACACCGAGGTAAACCCAAAATTTGTCTCGATGCGTATGGCTGTAAACCTAAACCTTCACAAAATTTTGTGCATGGAGCAAATAATTTCCAGCGCTCAAGTTTAATACGACATCAATGTGGTAATGATCACATTGTGGCTATGAGTTTCACCAAACAAAGAAGATCTCACGAGACTGTTGTGCGCCATATTTAAGAGAAGGAAAGCACGGCATTGAGGTAAGGACGGCTTTTGTCATGGGGGAAGAGGAAATTCCTGACAGGAAATTCAATGCCCTGATTGATTTGCAGGTTTGTTTTAAGTCTATTTATTTTAATTAAGAGACAGGTCGTCCACTCACGAATTTTTTTCCTTATTGTTTTTCTGTGGCGTTAATTTTTAATTCACAGATTGCCAATGGTAGCTCAGACCTGAAGAATGACACTTGACTGTGACTTATTGTAAATGGTTTTCAAATCACTATATTAATAACTATATATAATGACATATAACTATATTAATAAGGTCTACCTGAGACTCTAGTAAACTAATGTAAGATCTGTTATTGGTGTTAGGAAACACGAGGGGCACACTTTATTCCACTTCTCTGTTGAACAAGTTAAAATTATATTTTAGTAATAAGCAGGGGACCCCAGAAAAGCAAACAGGACCCCAGCGTTTTGGAACGGGGGATCTTAAGGATCCCTAACTAATGAAAACTTAAAAAACTAGTTAGGAGATGCAACAGTCTTATTCTTCTTATCTGTTAATAGAGCAACTGCGAGTCTCCTTTTCGGCAAGCGTTAACTTGTGCCACGTCACAAGTTTCCCTTTTAATTGTCCGACTGCTTCTCGTTTTTTTACCAGTAAGGATCGTTCAGGGCAGCCTTAACCTGCTTATTTTCAGTTTTGCGAAATTTTCAACTTGAATCAGACGTTTTATCTAACCAGACCCGCGCCGCCTGGTGTCATGTAGAGCTTTTAAACTAATTCGATTAGGTTCTCTCGACACTATTTTCATTTGTTTTGGACAAAAAGAAAAAAAAAAACGTTTTCATGTGACTCTGTTACCACGAAAACTAACTCTGATAGTGCATCACGCTTTTTGGTACATTATTTTATCAACTTCCACTACTCTACTTCGACGTAAAACGTGAACACACGACGACAAATTCTCCTTTCTCTGTTTCAACTTGGATACAATCCTCAAGAATTCAACTTCAGAAAATTCCCCTAAATGCGACAAATTGAGCGACGCTAAAGAAACGCGATTAAGTTTTAAAAAAAGCAAATCCTTTCTTGTTTTTTTGGGGGAGAGGGTGGTCTTTTTCACTGCCGTCGTCGTCTTAATCCTTTTAAAATAACCAACAAGATTTAAACAGCGTCACGTGCAAATGCGGCGCTATTTAATTAAAATAGGGTAACACATAAGGGCAACAGCTCCGAAAACTCTAAGAAAAAAGTTATTGGATGAGCATTAATTTATCACTCTTCAAATCTATTTTCAAATTGCTGGAATATGTTTGATATTTCGTTAAAGATGTCATTGACAATGTTTAAGCATCTGTCTTAACTTAAAGTTCTCCACTTGAATTAAATCATTTGACATTTTTGTCCTGAAGAGAACGATAGGGAAATTTACAAAAATGTGAAAAACACTTGCACAGGTATCGTTTAGCAAATCTATCCTACCGGTTAGTACCATTTTGTTTCACCGTTGCTGTAATAACGGCAATGACCTTAATACGGTTCAATAATTGTTGATCAACAAATGCTGCATCTCTTGAAGTTCCATCTTGTTAGAGCTTGTCTCACCACTGTACTGTCTATCAATTATGTTCAGCAACGTTCAGCATTTTGAATAGCCCACTCTCGTCTGGGAACTACTTGGCAAGGCGATCATTATGATTAACAAACATTCCAATTTTTTCTTGCACAGAATTTGCACTAAACAAGAGTTCAGTCTCCTTTGCGGCAACGCTTTTTGGTCCTGACGACCAACATAGCAGCGAAGAGGTTAGCTGCAAGCCAGCAATTTTCAAATTTTAAGACAGTTTTCAACATGGTACGATTTTTCGACTAAAATCGCGCAATCTATTTTAATAAAAAAATGGTGAACTGTGTTTCAATGGCTGTAAGTTCTACTAATCCTTTAATCAGACAACTGTATACAAACCTTGGAAAAGCGGACATATCAGCCACGCTGTTATTCCTCCTTGACTAGTTAACTGTCCCAGCGCCACTTCCAAGATAAGGATGGGCACCCCAGCAAAAATCAGACAAATAAAATACGGGATGAGAAAACAACCTTGGAAAAAAAACAAAAACAAAAGGGTTAGGAGGCACTCCTAGAAAGTGAGAAAAACCGAAACTCCCTCGTTTCTTACTCTACTTTTCATCTTCCATCTACAGGGGTACATCCCTCTGTTTTCCTCAAGACCCGTCGACCATGGATGTTTACTGTCTAAAGCCTTTTTAAAAGCATCTTCATTATAAATTTATGGATTTCATTGCTGTCATCGACTCATGTTAAAAGACACGCGTCAGTAGCTTTTTAGCCCAGTTGGCAGAAGATCTTCTTCACAATTACAAAATTGATTTAATGACAAAAAGGTCTTTTTTGAATATCAACGACTCCCTGTTTGACAAACAAAAAGGCAGAGAACGAGCGTGATATTTTGTAAGCAAATGTAAATTGCAAAGTGTTTGGGCGGCTTTGCCCCAGGTAATGATAACGATCTTTTGTAGGGCCACCAAATATATAGATAGACTCGAGCCGCAATTAAGACTTCGAGTTGGTCGTAAGAAATTTTAAACAAATTAAACGTAAAACGCTCCCGCAAGTAATCGGGTCGTGAACAGAATTAGTTTAAATTACTACTATACAGTCCTCTTCACAATGTGTATTCAGTGCAGCCCTATTCAGATGCAGGGTACGTATAATGAATGCTGAAGGCGCTGACGGAGAGACAGAACAGACTGACCGCACCAGTCCCTTTGAAAATGAAAAGGGCTTTTTGAAGAAAGTTTGCTAAAATCCATCACCAGAGCGTACACCATTAAATAAACCGACTTAGCTGGACAGTTTTGATTAGTAGTAAAATAGGCTCTTGGCATGACTTGATCACGTAATCAACTTTCGGTAAACACGAAAACAGTTTACTTTTGAAAAGTTTTGTTAGCACAAGCTGAAAGAGCATATTAAAATTAGGTAGCCTGAGAATTTTCAGCCGTATATCTCAAAAGTAGCGATTGCAACTGCCGCCGAAAGTTGGAAACATTTGTATGAGATAAACAAATTTTGCCATCCAGTCACGCTTGCATGGTTTTCCATACAAATCCTTGCAATTTCGAAATTTTCAAAACTGTAATGAAATATTTCCTTAAGCATTACAGGGCTCAAATCTCCTTTTAATTCAAAAACGCAATTTGATCGCTTAAATTCGTATTGGAAAGATTTAACGACAGTTTAAAAGTTTTAGAATTTACAAGGAGTTGTATGGAAAACCATGCAAACGTGACTGGGTAGCAAAAGTTTTTTCTCATACAAATGCTTCTAACTTTTGGCGGCCGTTACAATCGCTACTTTTGAGATACACGGCTGAAAATGCTCAAGTTAGTTAATTTTAATATGCTCTTTCAGCTTGTGCTAACAAAATTTTTCAAAAGTAAACTGTTTTCGTGTTTACCAAAAGTTGGTCACGTGATCAAGTCATGCAAAGAGCCTATTGTCCTTACTACAGAACTGGTCTGAACGGTTCCTTCCGACTAACGGTGAGCGCCTTGAGACACCGTGTGGATAAAAGTAGCTGAAAGCTTAGTTTTCTTATTACTAATATTTTTTCCCATGTAAAGTTGAACTGTAATCATCAATGACATCAATCAACTTGAATGGACAAATGTTCACCGCACAATACTAGAAGTTACCTTAATGACCACATTGTGTCGCTCTTTGTACCTAGCGTTTTTCTCTCAGTCTTAAATAATAACATTTTAAGAGATACCCCGCAAGTAAGAAGGTAGTTCTTAAGAGCCGGTTAGACTAAAATTTACCATTTAGACCCCCTCTATACAAAAACACGTTTAGCCTAAAGTTTGAAACAGGTTCTTATTTCCTAAAATCTAACTAAAATGGGTTTTCTGAAGGAGGCAAATTTTCCTTATTATGGTCCTTTTTACTGGTAAGCAAAGTTTTTGTGAGGAGTAGGCTGAATGGCACTATTTTCCATTCACTTCCAAAAAAAATAAGAACCTATTTAAAAACCCTAATAGTCAAAATTTGTGCTAATTACCATTTTTGGAAGACCCTGTTTTGTCCAGCTTGAGAAACTGTTGGTTTACTTCTTACTCGCGGCAGGAAAAACCTCGAACTTGAGATGTCAAAAGGAGAAACCAGAAAGACTGGGCCACAGAAGGGAGAGCTAAACTGGTTTCCAATTTATGCCTTATTAGCACTAGATCAAGCCACAAAAATAGAAATTTAAATATAGAAATAAAAGATTAAGAAATTGAAAATTTACATTCGGGCTACCTTTGAAAAAAAAAGTTGATAAAAAATCTGGTTTAAATAATTTGAAAGAATCCTGCTTCTCATACAGTTAGAGAGTAACGAAGAAGCAAAGAAAACATGTTTCCGCTGTGCAAGGGTTTAAAAAAAAAGAGAGAAAAAAAGCCCTTGAAATGTTCAGTGTTAGCAAAATGTAAACAACCCTTTCCTGCTTGATATTGATGACATGCAAATCGCGGTATACCGGTATACACAAAATGACCAGTGATCATACGAATAGTATTGTCTATATCTGTTAAAGTAATTTTTCAGGAAACTTCTGACAAATAATTTATTAAAGGGTTCATTCACCTGTTGCAAATCGCGTTTTAATAGATGACCTATTAAAAACCTAAACATTATTAATATTATTCAGTTTGCAAAACAAACTGAAAGTGCAGATATGCAAATTCTAAAACGCGGGACTTCATGCTGGAGTAATTTTCTTAATTAAGCTTACCCTCGATCAACTACTGAATTGAATGAAACGTTACCCCGTATAACCACCGTTAAACGCCACCTTTGAAATAGTACAATTTACAATAAACGGAAACAAAGTACAAGGTGATGAACAAAAATATTACAAACGCAATGCGAACAAAGGTGCTTTTTGTTCTTGTTATATCCGTTTTATTACTGCTACAGGCGTAAACAACTGCACGCCGGAGGGAGTTGTGGACCCTGTTAGGAAAGAAACTCTAGCGGCATCCAGTAAGCAACAAGGCCTCCGATAAACAATGAAATAATTAATACTCCCCATTAGATATTCAAAAGCTAAGAGTAGCCTGCAGAAACCGTACAAAACCTTTCCCTCGCTGCAAGTTATTCTCAGTTGAGAGAAAAGCCTTACAGTCGTTTCCCATCCTATGTTTAAAGACCTTAAACCTGGTAACGGGTACATTCTCAAGACGTGGGTTTTTCTTGGAGACGAGAAATATATAGTTACGCTACAAGTCTCGCTTGTTTGTCTTAACAGTGACTTTCTCGAGGCTCGTTTGGCTTTGCAATGAAGCATTTAAGTCTACATAGTTACTGGTCGTTACTTTAAGCTTCAAAGAAGACCCAACCGTCTGAAACAAGCCGGTTTGCGAGGTTGCTGGTTTAACGTGGCCCTATATTTTCAGGTTAAGCCGTCCACACCTACGTGATATTTACATACACTTACCTCCACCATTCTTATAACAAAGATAAGGGAATCGCCAGATATTACCAAGTCCTACAGAAAATCCTATTAATGCTAGCACAAAGTCGAGAGTGTTGGTCCAGGTTTCGCGTTCCTTGGCGGCGCCCATCTTGCAGTTGTTGTCGTGACCCCAACGCGACTGAATCCAGCGGCGACTTGTTTATAACCACGGACATGGGCATCTCATCTCGGCATGCACGACACGTGATAAAACTTGCCAAACGTTACGCTGTGATGCATTTGAAGCCCTGTCCACACGAATCCGGACACTTTTGAAACCGCATATTTTTCATCCTGATTCGTCCGGACGAGGCTTTAAACCACTCTGGAGAGCGGCTTCAAAACAATACAGTTTTGATGACCGGATTCACTGGTTTCGTGCGAACCGAAGGGCGATTCGTGTAAATAAGTATGCAGTTTCAAAAACACCAGGATTGGTGTGGTCGTAGCTTTAATAACAACAACAAATTCCTCTCCACAATTAAATTACAGAATAAATATTGTTCTCAAACACCAAGCTACTGGCTGTCCTGTGATCCCAAGTGGGATTTTTATTTCGATTTTTGTTTTAGAAGATTGAACTTAAGAGCAGGCAAATATTCAGAGACAATGTTTGTCAAGGGATGGTAAGCCTGCCTATAGTACTCATGATTGATCTGAATTCTTGTTATGACCAACCGAGTGGAACAGCTTTGACAGCGAATTAAATACCCATAAAAAACGATACGAAGAAATCTGTTACAGTGCACACCTAAGGATCATTCCGTATGGTTCAAAATCAAAGGCGAGAGATGTTTTAAATAATCCGCTACATAGCGTGAATATTTTTGTTTATAAAGGTGGCTCCGTCATTATCACAGGCGCATTTAACTGTGACGAAGTTTTCGTCATAACTTTTTTGTTGTTAACGCGATGGCTGCCAAACCTGGCAAAGAACAATAGATATCATTCGGAAATAGTACGAAATATTCTGATTTCATTGATGGTAAATATTTCTTGAGAAATTAGCGCTTAAAGGACCCTACTGTTCAAAGAAAATCGCTTCTAGTAAAAAATTGGCTGATATTTTTTTACTGAAATTTCTGGTATGAGGTGCGAATTCCTCGTAGAGCTGCCGCTTGTGCTCATTTTCTGTTCATAAACGAAGGTGCTGGACAGTTCTATCTGAGCTTCGATACAAGGTAGCTTACAATCCCAATACCTTTTCCCTGAATTGGAAGCAACGTACAGCAGGATAAACCGTTGAGGATGCATTGCAATACATCAAATGTACGTCGCAGGAATTTGAGACAAAACTGCCTAAGGATATTTTAAAAATGTCGAGGAACAAGTTATTCGACGTAAGAGCTAGGCTTGGAGCAATTTATAGTGCCTCTAAAACTAAAAAGTACCTTTTAAAGAATAGCACGATAGGCAAACGGCTTTTGTTTATAGAATAAGCAAACAATGAATTTACTTGTGCCGAAAATTTGAACTGGTGTCTTCTCCTACGTGAGAGTAATCTTTTTTGAAATTCCGGAACAATTTCACAGCTGAATTTTGAGGACTTCTGCGCCAACGATTTTTCTGAAATTTCTGCGGCATATTTATTATATCAATAAAAGCCGATACCAGAAATTTCAGTAAAAAATATCAGCAAATTTATTTACTACAAACGATTTTCTTTGAACAGTAGGGTCCTTTTAAGCGCTAATTTCTCAAGAAATAGTAACCATTAATGAAATTGGAATATTTTGTACCATTGCCGTATAATATCTGTTGTTCTTTGCAAAGTTTCGCAGCCATCGCGTTAAAAACGAAAACGTTATGACGGAAAATTTGCCATAGCTAAATGCTCCAGTATTAATGACGGAGACACCTTAACTGGGCTGCCTCAGGGCACACCCAGTTCGTAAATTTGGTTTCGGAATTTTTCGGTCTCCTACGTTAAAAAATGAACACTTTTAAATATTAACCCAGAGGGCGTTGCGTGATCCATAAAGCATGTTTGTCCATCTTCGCAGCGTCTGTTTTTGGAGGTCTAAATGTCGGATTAGGAAGTCTCGTCCGACGAAAACAGGAACTTTGAGAATTTCGCACACAAGTTCATCTCATGTAAGCTTGTAAAATGTAAATCTCCCGTTGATTGTTTGCAGTTTTCGGAGGGTTTAGAATTTTTTCTTGTGCTTTTTTGAGGGAATATTTAAAAATAAAGTGACACTTGACCGGCTCATTTGCTTTGCGAAATCTGTGAATTTATTTTTTCGCCTGAATTGTGTCACAACTCTCTTAATCTGCGGAAGAAAACTGAGTAAACAACATTCAAACATGCTCTCCGCTTGTTTCAAGAAGAGACATAATAAGAATAGAATAAATTGAGACAGCAATTTTTGTGAAAAAAGTACTGTTTTGATAGTCGAAGAAACGGGGAAATCAACTATTACAACTGATTCTTAAAAGTCAAAATTGAAATATTTTCTTTTGTCATTTTACCTTCACCAAACACTAAAAAGAACCATCCTAAGTGAGATTTCTTCCCAAGCCTTTATAGAAAGATGAAAGATCAAAATCCGAGCATTTCCGAGGACTTCACGAAAACGTTTCTGAAATGGCCGCGCCATGGACTGGAGACTACGTGACGGAAATGTTGGTCTTCACGCCGGAAAAGAGTTCTGCGCAAGCTTTTGCGCATCTCCTATCGCAGGCTTAAGGCGGGCTGTTCTGTGTGTATACTGTGTTTGTTTGTCACTGAGAGTTTTGACTGAGACCGAATGAAATGTACGAGGTGCGAACGTTTGCTCCTTCCTTTTTATTTGCTTGTCTTTTTTTTTTCCCCTCACTTGAAAATGACTTTGGATTCAGAACAACCAATGTTAAAGGAAAAACGGATCATTCCGTCAGTCTGAGGTGAAATAAAAAGCTTTGATCATTTCCAAAGAGGCGAGTATTTTTCTGATTGAGCATTCAACTAATTTGTGAGTTGATTTCGCCTATTTTCGCCCGGCTGAATTAAAACCCGCTTGTATTCTGTTATTAGTAGTTACGGTTACTTTTTTTTACATTCCCAGATTTATATACTACCTTTGCAGAACCATCTTTATCCTTCTCTTCAGTCAAAGAACCTTGCTAACGCATGCGAGTGAACAAACTTGTGCGCTTAAAACGTTTTCGGAAATAAAAGGTTAGCAAGCTTTATACTCGAAAAGAAAAGTCTACTTCCATCATTTTTCTGTTGCTCAAGTAATAATAGTCAGGGATTATTTGATTGTTGCCACGCAGGGATTTCGCCCAGAAGGCGAAATTTCGAGGAGGCACTCTAGTAACTCGCGCTTATATTAAGGAAAGTACTCACAGTTGAAATATACAGTCATACAGTCAATATAAATACAGTCGACTCCCGATAACTCGAGCCTTTAAGGGAAATCGAAAAAAGGTTCGAGTTATCGGGAGTTCGAAGAAAATAGCCGAGAGTAAAGTAAAAAACAGTTTTTACTGCACAGTGAACATTTTAATCACATTTAAAGTGAAAATTAAAAGATTCTTTTAGATTAGAAATCAGAACTTAACGTAACAAAACATAGCCTAAATAGAGCATGCGTTTTACTGATTTGAGAAGAAAAGCTGCTTCACGTTAGCCTGTGACAATCAACATTAGCCTCCACTAGTAAACTATACTCCTACATTCTCCTACAACACGTCAATAGGAAATCAAAAATTCAATGTTTCGGACGCCAGTAGACGGGTTTTTTCCCGACTTTTTAAGGGCTCAAAACATGGTTCGAGTTATCGAGGGCAAAATTACATAGAAAATGACCTGAAGGGAAACGAAAATTGGTTCGAGTTAGCGGGAGTTCGAGTTATCGAGGGTAAAATTACAGTGAATGCATGACGGAAATCCAGGGGAAATCGACTTTGGTTCGAGTTAGCGAGGGTTCGAGTTATCGGGAGTCGACTGTACCACTCGTGATATTTCAAAATTGTCTCAAATTTTACTCGCCTATCGGCTCGTGAAATTACCTGTAACGATTTCGAAATATCACTCGTGGTATTTATGCCAAATATCACCACAAATCATGCTATTACCTATACTAATTACATAGTTTTGTTTTCCAGTGCACTGTGAAAGTTTCTGTTCTTTATAAGAAATAACTTTATGTACGCAAATTTTCCCTTTCACTCGCTGTGAAGTTGAGATCGATAACCGCCGGCAGTGACTTCAAAACAATTGACTCTTTGCCCGTAAACAATTGCTGGAGCTGGATTTGACTGGAGGGAACAAAACAAACGCTTATGTGCAGTTTTCTGTATTTTCTAATGATTCAGTTTGCTGAGTTTAATTTGCTTCGCCTTGAATGAAAACCCTCGCATGGACCAGTTTTAAAAAATAGCTAAATGTGAATCATGGCATGGCTGCGAAGCTTGCAACTGATCTTTTGCTTTTAAGATCTTTAGGTGGGTTATTTTCGTACAGAAAATACACTTCGTCATTGTCAGCAGAGCCTTAAGCCTTATTTTTTTTAATGAAAATTTGTTGTTTTGCAACCTTACTGAAACTTTTTTTGGTTCACTTAAGCTGCATTTTATGCATGATGAAATTAAAGTGGCGCCTATGGTCCTTAAAGTGACCTCAGTCGGTAATTAAATCATATACCTAACTGGAAAGACGTTTTTACAATAATGTAGCTTTAACTGTATGTTTGAAAGAAATCTTACTAACACGTAGGTTTTTGACAGGTGTTATGCATGTTTAACTTGACAACACAAAGCAAGATTTACCTGCGCGAAACGATCAAGGTAAAAAAACTATACTTGCTTTGCAACCGATTTTCGGGAAGATTTTACTACATAAAGATTAACTCTTTTTCTGCCCACATATCAACGCCAAAACTTCTACATTGACGATTTTGTTTATATTTTAGTGATCTGTAAAGCTACAAGTGTCCGATCGAATGAATTCATCTTGCAAAAAATCGGACCTACGCACGCACATTTCCAGTACAACGCAAGGAAATTAATGTCGTTAAAGTCCGTTTTAAAATGATGTATTCTTCGAAGAAATAAAAGAATAAGAAGGTTATAACCACAGCTTGCAACTTTTGAACACACATTCCTTTTTCTTTGCAGATTTTTGGCCGCACAAACCACCAAAATTTCTGCACCAAGTCGACTCGAAAAACACTGTTTCGAATTTCCCGCTTTTTTTCACCTGACCAACATTGATGTCACAAGCTGTTTTTTGCCGACAATTTTTCCGACCGCTCCACGAAGATAAGGGCCAAAAAATAGCAATTCAG